CCGGGTTCCCCGGCGGGGGGAGCCCGTGGGGCGCCGCTGCCCGGCTCAGCACCGCCACCCACGCGTGGCACGGCGTCCCTGTGGGTAGCAGCTGTAAACGCACATCTGGGCGTCACGCGTGGTGCTTTCCATCAACTTTGCTTGCCGGGATGAAGGCTTTGCCCTCCCACTCGCAAAGGTGCCTTTCGTTCCACCTTTGCGGGCTTTTGTTACCTTTGCGCTTAAAAAAATCGCAAACGAAGATAAGCATCCCCGAGTTGGTACCTTCTCCAGCAAGATTCTGGGGGGGAACGGCTTTCCGAGCTGTCACCGAGGATCGTCTCCACTTCAAACATCGCAAAGAGGTAGCGTTAAAACATGATAAACTAGAATTCAAATCCAAAGTTTGCAAGCCGGGCTACCGAATGTCCTCATCTACAGAGTAAACCTGCCTATTTAAAGCCCCATCCATTTGCCACAGTAAACACTGCTTTTCAGAAAGACGATGTGAAAATGGATTAGAAATTCAAACAACGTCGAGTCCTTGTATCCTACAAGGCAACTTTGCAAGATGTAAGAATATACCCTCTCACCTTCAAACCATAATTAGAAAAAAAAAAGAAACAAACAACCAAATAAATAAAAAAATCAATGCCATGGAAACAAACCTAAAATTGCTTTAAAGGATTTGGAGTTTTACTTTAGTACTAGCTGCACATGAAATCTTTTATGGTTTCTACGTTCAGACCCAGGACTCTGCTACAACCCTGAAGAAGGGAGACAGGCACATAACTCATAGTCAGACCCTAAAACAACGTGGTCAGTCCATCATTCACACTCAGCTTTATTATTCCACTAAGAGGGTAAAGCCGTGAATTATTCCGGTGATGTGAAGCTAGGACTACCTTACAAATTCCAGAAAACCATGAAAGCTTTTTGCTGGCACTGAGGGGAAGCTTATCCTGAGACCTGCAGGTTTGGGACTTCTTTGGGGGTGTTCTGGCACATGATAAACACAAGCGTTTTGTTTCCAGAGCTGTCAACCAAGATCTTTCTTTTCCTCTATCAAAGCACTTTAAAACAAACAAACAAAAACCCAACACAACTTTGCAGAGTTGTTTACCCCAAAGGGAAGCCAGATGGCCCCAGACTATCAGGAGCAGGAATATTCAAGCAAACAGAAAACTACCTGCTACTTATTTTAAAAGTGTCTGGGATAAAGAAGATCCGTTCCTGCCAGTCCTTCATTACGCAGTGCTCCCACTGAAGTCAGTCTTGTTGCATTACACAGAAACAGCAAGATCTGTTTTAATTATAAAACACTAGTTGTAAAAAGCTGGATTTAAGGAAGTTTGGCACATGGTCATTACATAATATGACCCTAATGAAAAAAAAAACCACAACAAACCCTACCCACAACAACTTAGTACCTTAAAAAAAAAAGTGAATGAGAGAGTTTGAAGCAGCTCCTTCACAAGGAGTATTTTTGTCCCTCCTCCTTCCAAGAAAGGAGCAGAACTAAGTCCCCAAGAAAGCAGGGAGGGAGGGAGAAAGCCGCAAGTCACCTTATAGTGATGCTGTGTTGTTGTGTAGAGTTACAGGACACCAGTCCGCTGCGAGAGCCTGTGGTCCCCTTGAGGACAGCATACCAGGATAAAATAAATCTGTCAAAAAACCTGTAGGACAAAAAATAATTTCCGTGTGGGAAGTTGGCTATAGACACATCGAAGAGCTAGCCATGCAGCCCCTGCCCCATCCAGCACAATTAACTGCAAAAAACTTTCCCACATACCTGTTGTTGTTGCTGCTTTTCTTTATATAGAGAGTTGAACCAAACCGTTACAGGCTCTGAAGCTCTGCGAGTCAACAGCAAACAGCCATCACCAGGGAAGCTGACCAACCCTGCTGCAAACCGTCTCCATTACAGAGCGGAAAGGTTTCCTGCTGCTGGCTCATGGGGCAAAACTCCTGATGGGACTCAGCATTGGCCTTTCGGGGTGGAGAGGCACCTCATAAAAACCTGACCCCCCTCTCCTGAACTGGTTTGGAACACTGCGTGTTCCCCAAGACTCCTTCCACTGTGCTGCTCTTAGCAGCAGCAGCAACAATTTCCCCTCTATTCTTTTACTCAGAGGAAGTTATTTCAGTTTTGCTCAGTCATTCTACAATCACTTCTGGGCCAATGATCAAGATTTTAGAAACTGCTACAGCCCAAACCCCAAAGGATTAACACCAAACATTATGTGCCCTTTAGCACGTCCTGAGCAACAACGACTAGGACGATGTGCATGAGACTCGGCCACAACTCTGTCATATTTCCCAATAGCCAAATGCTATTTGTGTCATCAAGAATTGCAGTACTACCTACCAATAGATACCTTTATAATGCCCCTAAAGCGATGTGGGAGAAAGTAGCATACTACAGATAAAACCCAATAAGGACCAAAAACCTCCTCTGAAGAGGGACACCATCAGGATACGGCTGTAGGAAACCAGGAAGAGTCGTGCCTTGTGGCGTAAGTCTTGAGAACAGCCCCCAACACGCTCCACAACCAGTATTTCCTTTGAGCTTTGCTCCACTGCGAGACTGAATAAGATCTAAATCACCGATACATAAAGGCAGTTTGCTGCAAACATGAAAAGGTTTGTCAAGACCCCAACTCTCCAAATCAGGGTCTCAATACAGAGTAGCTCAACCTCCACTGCAGTGTTTGCGTTGTTCGGTTTCTTTCTTCTCAACTTTTTCCACTTTAATTACATTCCTACAAGAAAAGCATAAAACATTGTTACTAAATAGAGAAAAAGAAAAACTAAAGGGTTACTTATCAGTATTGGGGAGAGATCAGTTTGCATTTCTAATAGAAAGATTCTATTTTTGCCTAATACAGTGGAGTTCTACCAACAGCACATACGTACTTTTCAAGTGCTAGCCAAAATAATTACTTCTCTCCTTCTGTGGGGGGAAAAAATCCACTAAATCATGAATATTCAATGGATTGATTAATGACATACTAATCCTTTAGCTAAAATCTCTGCTCCTTAAAATACAGCAAATACTAGCTGCCAGTTACAAGAAGGATTACGAATACAAAACCCACTTGGTTTCCAGAAGTTATCTCACCCTGATCGCTCTGGTAGTGTACGATGGCAGTACGATACCACACCGCACCCAGGGCAGACTCTCTTCACATTCTGGTAGACGTGAACCAGGCAGAAAAACCTGGTTTATTGCTGCTTACTGGAGCCGCTCCAGCTCCATTCTCTGCCACCCGCTCCCCGGGCTGGCAGCGAGCGAGGGTGTTCCTGGGTGCCCTGCACCAACCTGGTGAAACCTAAACATCTGCATTTCCAGCCCTGAAAACACCGCCATAAGAAAGCTGATGTTTGGGTCCTCTTAGATAAACTTGCTTGAACTGCATAAATTGGCCTTTCCGTGACTATGAATCCCTGTATGAAAACCACCATCTGCAAGAGGAAAAAAAAAAAAAACCAAACAACAATGCAAGGGTTCAATTTAAAGCTGTGAGATGTTTCCTCAAAATCTTAAAGTTCTGGCTGTAGTATTATTAGTGCAACTGTGTTTCCTCTTTTCTTTCAGGCTTCAGGTGGTGCTCATCAGGAGTTGCCAGTCTTTCCTTTTTCTCTCAGGCTTTTGAGAATTCCTGATTATTCCGCTTTAATTTTCTTTCTTTGCTGCCCGAAACCACCTGAGAAGGTCCTTCCCCATCAGGTCAGGTGAATTCAAGCCTCCATATTCCCTCTGGGCTCTTTGTTTTTCTCACTGGTGCTTCCTCCGGGCAGGAACCTGTTCCATGAAGTGCTAGCGGCTTCCGCAGGAGGCACGGAGCGTGCCCTCGCCTGCTGGCAAGGGCTGGGGAAGGGTGGTTACAGCACACCCGGCGGCGTAAGGCCCTTTCGCACACAGCGCTGCGGTCCACCCGCTGCCCCAGGGAGCGCAGTCGAGCCGGTGCTGCAAGGGTCCAGCAGCACCACGTCTCTCCCTACCCTCCCTGCAGTGGCCACGTGAGGCCCGATCTCCTCGTGTGAAATGAGTAAGCACTTCCAAAACCAGATAGTTGGTTTTGGGGGTTTTTGTTTTTTTTTTTACAGAAGCTAATATTAAAAAGTTGATGACACATTGTCTGCTCTCTCTGGATTCATTTTTGACAGTAATTTAGGCAAGTATTTAACATCAAGGAGTCAACTCTTTATCTCCAGCCTTAAAATCATCTTCCACTATGGGAACAGCTAATGCACAAAAGTAACTTTCTTCAGTTTTATCTTCAAAGTTTGGGAATATATTTAGTTCTACATTACAATGACTCTATTCATATTTCATGAATTTTTAAGTTCAGACTGTGAGCGTGGACAGCTCATCACTGACACATCAGGGAAATGCTGTGAAAAAACAAGCAACTTATTGTACTTCTAGCTTATGAGATTGCTTTATGGTTCCCTCAAGGATATTAAAGACAGATCTTTGCAACGGTTATCAAT